AAGAGAATATATGCAAATGTTTATGTTGCAAAGTATATATTTTTGGGTCTAAAGTTAAAATGACAACCCAATGAGGAGAATTGAGGTTAAAAACATGACTAATCCAAGAAGCATAACTTGATCCATTGCCAAAAAAGAAGAGTACACAGCGCAAGCCTAACGTAGTCTTTAAGACTCGAGACGATTAAATGTATGAGATCATTGAAAGGATATAGTGTATCATGCCATGAATCTCGCGGGCCATGCTAGTGATATTTCATGAATGGGCTCTAGATTCTGTGGGTGTACGATCTCAACTAAATAATTATAAAAGCAGCAGAAGTTTGCAGAAAATAGGACATAAACAATCAATCATCAACATCCATTAATACTTCCACCATTTTTATTCTATATTTTTAAATAGTTTTTAGAATCATTTTTAGTTTTGTAATCTTTACAATTCTGTACTTTGAACATTATCAATCAAATGCTCATTTATTTTAGTCTCTTTGCATCTTCACATTTAAATAAACTATAGTAAGAGCTCAAAAATTCTTATTATCTTTTGAAACTCAGCGTCTCTGACACTCTTGATATTTTTTGTTGTTTGTAGAGAACAATATCATTAATAAAAGTTGATTTTTATCAAAATATCCTATATTTTATGACGTCGAATTTTTTTAAGAATATTTCATATGGGACAGAACGGGAGTATATGGTAGTATGTAGTATTTTTTTGTCTCAACTCTCAAGTCTTGATTAGCCAAAGGTTAAGTTAAAATATCGATATATAATAATAATAAAGTCCGTTCAACCAGATATTTGGGATCAAGCTAAGATAATTTCTTAACTGTCATTTTATTAAAGATGAATTTATTATTTAAAATTTGTAAGTTAAAAATTTTATATTTAGATTGTCCAAATTGAATTTAAACAGTTCAAATTTCATCATAGTGATAGGTATCATGGTCCAAAGCTGGACTGATGTCTCACTGTTAGTCACCCACCAAGGATTTCTAATAACGTCTGTTACAACGTTTGGTGTATTTTTTTTCCCCAACATCCTCTCATAATTAAGTCAAAATCACTGGATCGCTCATTATTTTTTTTTTCACTATTCTAAATCCATCCATCAAAGTTTTACAGCAAGTTTTTTGTCTTTTTCCATTTTTTAGATGCATACATCAGATTTACATCGATTAATTAGACACACACACTCTTCTTGAGAAAAAACGAAAAGTCCATAGCTTTCCAAGCCTTTTAAATTTTTAAACTGCAATTAAGTTGAGTTGCGTTTTAATGTCAAAATTCTGGAGGTTCTTCAGGGTGATGCAGGAGGTGATGAATTTTTCATCCATTTGAATATTCCATATACGTTCAAGACTGAAATCGAACGAACAATTTCATATCTAACTCTAAAATTACAAATAACTTTAACGCTAAATTGATTTTTACATTTTTATTTCTAATTCTAATAATTGCAAAAATATAATGAATATCGAAACATATATTTCTTTCATTATACTTGACTCTTCTCATCCTTATCAAGTTATATATTTTCTAAATTTTTCATGGCTTCATCATTAGATTTAACATGTTCACACATGTACTTCAATGTTTTTGGGTAAAATGAAGTGACAAATAAATTTAATCTAATCCCAAACCAAGGAAAGACCTGCAGGCGATCAACAATAATCTTGAAGTTCTTTTTTTTTCCACAAAAAAAAAGGAAAAAGAAAAATAAACTTGAAGGCCGTTGATCGCAAATAAGACATATTTATCAAATGCATCAGATAGAAGAAATCATAGGGGAGTTCGCAGATCTTAGATTGTAACGTTTCAGAAAAGGATTGTTTCATTTGACCTTTTGCTGGCCTGTTTGGCTGTTTTCTATTGGAAGACTTGGTAATATAGCACCAAAACTGTGTAATTAGTGAAGCCAAGTACAACGTAACCAACAGGCCAGCTAAATGGAGTGAATTAGTTTGTCTGTTATATATAAATAATGGGTGTTAATAGTTGTTTTAATTAGAATATCCTGTTAATATCATGACCAGTCATGAAATTTAGCCTATAAAGGCCAACGATATCCCTTTCTCAGCTTGAAGCATACAGAAAGAGAAACTACCCTTCTTGTTTCTATGGCTTCTTCTTCTTCTAATCCCTTCCTGTTTGCTTTTATTTCTGTTGTTTGCTTCTTCTTCTTCTTGATAGAGAACGAACCCTTTGTTTCTGCAATAACGAGGAAAGAAGCCAGTGAGCTTCTTCAACAAACTCAACATCATGTTCATCTCACCTCTTTCTTCCCTTCTTCATCTTGCACCTCTCCTCCTAAAGGTTCTTTCTCTTTCATCTCTCACTCTCTGTTATTAAAAAAATTGTTCTACAGCATTGTGACGCTCAGCACCAACTCTCTTTGAACCATAAATAACATTACTTTTTGTTCAATTAAGATAGTTAATATTTAATCAAATGATTATAACAAAGTAGAATGTCAATGCATGGTTAGAGTTCTAATTAACTAGATTGACAGTTAGATTCCAAAAACTAATTAGATCGATCCAAATACAACTTCTATATATGCTAGCACAGAAAATGTCATTTACATATCGTAACTCTCACGTCGGTGCTGTCCAAAGCCAACTAATGAAGGAGTAGTCTCAAATTTGTTTTCCTTGTATAGAATCTCTTCTTTGTAGCGTATTTTTTTCCTACTATTTGAACTGGACTGACATTGAGCTGATAGAATAATCCACGTGACTACTACATGAGTACATTCAAGTGATATGTGTATGTGTATAATACGATGAACAGGTGCAAGCAGGAAGGGATATTTGGAAGTAGTACACAAGCACGGCCCATGTTCAGAACCGAAGCAACAAACATCATCATCTTCATTTATTATACCGCACAGAGAAATCCTGATGCGAGACCAAGCGAGGGCTAGGTCAATCCACTCTAAGCTTTACAGGAGACACAACTATAATGAAGTAGCAAAAGTAGATGTTAGTTCAAATCGCAGGTTGGACCGGGTTCAGCTTCCGGCCAAGTCCGGCGTCCTTCTCGGGACCGGGAACTACTTTGTCACGGTGGGGCTGGGAAGCCCCAAGAGAGATCTGTCTCTGGACTTCGACACAGGCAGTGACCTAACTTGGACTCAGTGTGAGCCCTGTCTTGGTTCTTGCTATTCCCAGAAACAACCAGTCTTTGACCCTTCTCACTCTTCTTCTTACTCCGATGTCTCTTGCTCATCTTCTCAGTGCTCCCAGCTTCTCTCTGCCACTGGTACACACACACACTCTCACATTATCTTTCAAGCTAAGTTTATGAACATAGCTTCCTTCTCTTTTATTCATTGAATACATTCTCTTATATATGCATATGATCTCCAGGATTTTTTCCATTATGTAATACAACAACAAGGGCTTGCATGTACGGTCTTATCTATGCTGACGAATCCACCTCCATTGGCTTCTTCGCTAAGGAAAAACTAACCATATCTCCGACCGATGTCTTCGACGACTTCCTTTTTGGCTGCGGCCAGAACAACACAGGTCTCTTCGGCGGCACCGCTGGGTTGCTCGGTCTCGGTCGCGATCCGCTCTCCTTCGTCCAACAAACCGCGCATAAGTACCACAGAATCTTTTCCTATTGTCTTCCGTCGACTCCAAGTGCCGTCGGCTACCTCAACTTTGGCCCCAGTCATAGGTACTCCTACGGCGACGTCAAATACACTCCGTTCTCCTCCATCTTCAAGAACTCCTCCTTCTACGGCCTTGACTTCGTCGGAATATCTCTCGGTGGCGTCAATATCCCGATCTCTGCCTCCTCCGGCACGGTTATTGACTCTGGTAGTGAAGTCACCTGGCTCCCTCCGGCGGCGTACAGTTCCCTGAGAGACGAGTTTCAGAGACAGATGTGGAGGTACCCGAAGGCGGATCCGGTTGAAGTACTGGACACGTGCTACAATCTGCGTGGGTACGAAGTTGTTCACTTGCCGAAGGTTTCATTGACGTTTGGAGGTGGGGTGAACGTGACGTTGGACGCATCGGGGATTCTGTATGTTGTGAGCAAAGAACAGGCGTGTTTAGGGTTTGCTGCGAATAAAGTTGATGGCGATGAAGGTGATGATGTGGTTATTATTGGCAATACACAGCAGAAAACACTGGAGGTAGTGTACGATGTTGATGGTGAAAGGATTGGGTTTAGATCTCACGGCTGCAAATGATAGATTCTTAAATTTATTAGTGTTATTATGATGTCAACAAAAATCAATAAATCCAAGTAGCTTATAAGTTGATATATTATAAGCATGAGTAAGGTAAGGATATGCTTATATCTGTCTACTTATATATTTAAAGTGATCTAATTCATGAGTTTGCCAGGTAAAGCAAGAGACTTTTAGACGTTGGTTGTTAGGGCTTATATTGTCTTCCCCAGTTACAAGGCTATGGACTCTGTTGTTTTTACTATTGCTATATATTTGTTCGTCATGTTTCGCTATTTGGTATTACCATTTCCTCGTCATTCAGGGGGAGAAAGTTTTATTATAGTCACTTTTCTCATATTTAAGGCGTATTAAAATATTGTAAATAATTTTCAAAGAAATAAAAATAATTGCAATAGCCTAATAATGCATTTGGAGAAAGATTTTCTTTTTTTTTTTTTTCTTTTTGGGGGGGCGGGGGGGGGGGGGGAATGAGAGCCAGCGGCCCCTGTGCCGCAATGGGATGTATGTTCGAACCCAGAATGGGCTTTCAAGTTTGGACCTTCATTTATATTCTCCTCAGTAAAATTTCGACAGCCAATCGGGAATCAGGAGTTATTTACATCAACTGATAAGAGTACAGCAAAGGACAAATAAAAAAAAAAAAAAACCTATATCATTCATGAATTCTCTCTCATATTACATCACCTTCAACAGGCTTCAAATGATGGCGAAACTACCCCATCAGAAAAATCAAAAGCTTAAAGAGAAACTTCAATTTGATGTTTTATTAATTGTAATTGTTTCTTTCACGGAGGTCATTCTCTGTCCCAGGAAAGTGTCCAGTCCAACACAGACTTTTTCCCTGTATTTATCAATATGCTTGTGAGAAATCTACCTGTTTCTCCGATAAAAATGAGAGTCAAACATGCTTCTCTTGTGATTTGAATCATAGATGTTCTGAGGTTCAAATTAATTTCAGATCAGCCACCAAGCAAGAGAACCGAAGACAAAATTCACCTATGTGCGCTCTTGCTGGAGCTTACCAACAAGACAGTTTTCCATTGCTTCATCACAAAGCTCAAGGGTAATTTCTAAATTCCCTTCTTCATAATTTACATCAATAAATATATCATATATCTCTTTCTCTGCTACCAATCCTTTTGCTCTCATCTCATCAAAAAATTGCCTCGCCTCCACAAATTTCTTCCTCTTGAAGAACCCTTTTATAATGGCATTATAGGAAGAGGCTGTGAGATCAAATCCCTTTTCAATCATTCCTCTATGCAAAAACCATGCCTCTTTCATATTCCTAGCTTTACAATGCCCTCTTACCAAGATATTATATGTGTTACCATCGGCTGCCACTCCCTCGGCATGCATACTCCTGAAAACATTCGTGGCAGCGCGCATGTCATTTCTAATGCAGTACTGCTTCATAAGAGAATTGAATGTGGTAGCATTTGGTGTTATACCCTTATCTAACATCCATTGAATTAGTCTTTCACCATCTTCCAGCATTCCTGACAGGCAAAACCCATTCATTAGCACATTGAATGTAACAACTGTAGGCTGAAGTCCTTTATCGAGCATCTTGCGAAGCAGCTTGTGAGCCTTGGCCATTTCCCCAATCTTACAGTAAGCATCCATAAGAGTCGTGTATGTAACAGTATCGGGATAAATTTCAGCAAGTTCCATTTCTTCCATCAATTTTAACGCTTGTTCTATATTTCCTATCTTACAAAGGCCATTGATGAAAGCATTGTAAGTGCAAACATTTGGTTGTAGGCCCTTTGCAGATATCTCATGAAGAAGTTCATTTGCTACATCTACCTCTCCACGTTTACAAAGTCCATCAACCAGTGCAGTATAAGTGAAAATATTTGGAGTCAACCCTTTCTGAACCATCTGGTTGTGTAAAGAAAAGGCTTCTTTTATTTCCCCTGCCTTGCAATATCCATCAATGAGTTCTGTATAAGTAACCTCATCTACTTCCAACCCTTTACTAAGCATTTGACTGAAAAAATCTTGAGCTTCCGCCATTTTCCCATTTTGACAAAATCCATGAATCATAGCAGTATATGTCACAAAATCAGGTATTATTTTCTTACCTTGCATTTCATTAAAGAACTTGTATGCAGCTGAAATATTCCCAGACTTGCAGAAACCACTTATGATGGTTGTGTAGATCACATGATCAGGATATATCCCCTGGTTTCTCATTTCCCACAAGATTTTATCAGGTTCAACTACTTTACCAGTCTTACGAAGAAGAAGAATTACATCATTGTAAGTGTATTCATTTGGTTTGATTCCCTTTCTCTGCAACTCTTCTACAAGCTTTACAACCTTCTCTAGCTGTCCAATTTGACAATATCCACTAATTATAGTGCTATAACTTACAATATCAGGCATATGGCCCTTAAATTCCATTTGTATGAGTAAAAGGTGCGCTTCTTTGATCATACCCAACTGACACAGACAATGAAGAATGACATTATATGATGTGGTGTTCCAAGGAACACCTACTCCTGGATAGTCGTTAAATACCTTTAATGCCATCCTTATTCCATCAAAATTGTTTGACAGCCTAGCTAGAAACAAATTACAAGAATCTACAGAGACCAGAAGACCATAATTTAACAATTTATCAAAAAGTTGTCTGGCTTCTAAAAGCATCCCACCTTCAACTAAGACTTGGAAAAATATATCAAATACATGAGGGTCAGAACCCCAGTCCTTGTATGTATATATTAACCGCTCAGTAAAATTTGCAAAAGAATGGTCAACATCCAGATTGGGCTTTGCCCAGAAATCATGAACCAGGCTGTGTGCCATTTTTAAGTCCTTTGATGCCACAGCAATATGAACTACTATACAAAGGGCCTCCAGTGTTGGGTCTCTGCGCAGACGTGCCCAGTTAAAGAAATCTAAAACCAGTTCATAGTCATTCTTTATGTCCATAAGAACCCAAATTAGATGATCAGGCCTGAATTTGGATTCATAAGGTTTCAGAATGTGGCGAAGAGGCTCAGAACGGCGAAGCTTTATCGTTTTGGAGATTTGACGCACAAATTCAGAATCTTTAATAGCAGACTTCTTTGGGGAATAATCAGGAAAAGGTCTGGTATTGGTTGAACCTACAAGAGAGGCTCTCCCACTCAGATATCTTCGACATCCAGAATATGTTGGATCAAAACCCAAAAGCAGACGACAGTCACTAATTTTTAGATAATGGAGTGAAGAGGAGATTGTTGGTCTCTTCATGTGCAAGAGGAGCACCCATTTGAAAAATTGAGACTTTCTATACAACAGTTTGGCACCTCTCTCCCATGTACACAAGAATCACAACAAAGAGGCTCTTTCATGACAAATCACCTACAAGTAACAACTTTTCTTAGGCGGGTGGGAAGAGGTAGTATGGCCGTGTGGCACATATGTACAATCAGAAAGGCTTATTTCAGCTCCAAGGCATAGACATCACACGCAACCCAGCTATAATTAGATTGCAAAATGTTTTTAATTCTTGACAGTTGTATCGGGTAATGTCAAAACACTTGCCTATTGAGCATCTTACCATATCAAAATGACAAATACTTGCTTCATTTTAACCTAGAAGGAAAGAAGAGGAAAAGAAAATGTATCAGGCATTCTATCAAACACCTTCTAAACATTCCCAAATAACCAGTTAAACCTCCAAAAGATATTCCAGGAGAGAAAGAATTTACGCTCAAATCAAACTCAAACTGGCCCAGATGTTTACATTCACGAACAGTTCTAACACTCGGGTATTCCAAGAAAATAAAGCCATATATTGCAGCAAGCAATGACTATGTCTAAAGCAGAAAAATAAGGTTCCTTATTCCCAACGAACAACAATCAAACGAATATCAAAGAATGAAGGCAATGAGATATTCATGAAGAGAAAGAAGACAATTACGTTTCCTAGAATTGCCAAGCGAAAAGGAGATGAAATATCCAGCACTAACAAGCAATAATAGAAAGTCAAAGTGCAGATTTTCCGTCAGATAAGGGAGACGCTACGTTAATGGAGATATTTCCTTTCTAATCAATATCTTACATTTTTCTACATGGTTTGAGAAAGAGATGTGGGTGGGTGGGTGGGTGTGGGTAAGCGCTAAAGCAAAGAACTTGTTGCAGATGCTCCTCTGTTTTTATATCCCCGAACCAAAAATTAGAAGAAAATCAGAGACTTTGCAAAGATGGAGAAAGATGAGAAATAGGAAGAAAACGGAGAAACTTGACTATTTTGAACAGGGAAAAATCAGAGATCAACGGAAAGATAGGGAACAGAGAAACTTGAAGGACCAACCTATAAGATTGAGAAACCAACCCAGTATAACTTTGTCTTCAAGCCCCAGAATCTGTGACTCACAAATTGAAGGAAGACAGAACTGGTGAAGCTTTGAACAAGTGCCGGCGAGGTAGAGGTCGGTATAATCGACTTCGACTTCGAGTTCAGGCCACCTGAAATTGGGATTTTGGAGTGCGGAAGTCTGTGGGTAGATGGCTGGACGGGCATGGACGTCGGAGGCCGACGGTTAGGCGAGCGGCGGGCGAACTCGTGTCGTGAGGGGTGAAGCGCTGTGACGTTTAGGGATTGCGAGTGCGAGGTAGTCGCCATCCTAATTATCAAACACATTTTGTAACACTCTAATCTAATCTAATCTAATCTAATCGGAGGAGCTCTCGAAAAGTTTAAATTTTTTTTGGATTAACGAGCATTTTACACCTTTCAATGCTACACGAAAAGTATCATAAATCTTAAAATTTTAGAATATATAAAGCAAATTTTAATTTTTTAAATTCACTGTAAATTACTCTCCATTATTATCTTTTTATTAATAATATTACTGTTCACCATACTATTCATCATGAGGTCAAGTGTTGACATGACAATCTTCTATTGATATATCATTTATTAATTAATATCACTGTAAATTATTAAGTGAGTAGCGTCTTAAATCTTAAACTTAAAAATTTTAAACAAATTATTCTCACTGTTTATGTATAAAAAATTAATTATTATACAGATTAAATTAATCTCATCGTAATCTGCTATGGTGAACACATCGTTGGCTACAGTAGACTACCCATAATTTTGTTAAGTGACTTTTTTGCCCTTTTTTTGCAATATTTTTTAAATGATTGGTATCTTATGCTTTCATATGCTATGTAATTCTAATTTAATTTTATTTTAAATAATATTTATTTATTTAATAGTGAAAACTTGGGATCTCATTTAAAAAAAATTTAAGTATCAAAGAATTTTAATTAATAGGCTAATTTAGGTTTCAAATTCGTTGATGAAATTGTCGGTTTTTATATTCATTGTTACGTATTAGATGATTTTACAAATAATAAATGCAAAAGTCGGTAATTTCATCAATTAATTTGAAACCTTAATTAGCCTGTTAATTAAAATCCTTTCATACTTAAACTTCTTTTTAGATAGAATCTCAAGTTTTCACCATTAAATAAATAAATATTATTTAAAATAATATTACATCAGAGTTATAAAGTATATGAAAGCATGGAATATCAATCATTTGAAAAACTTTACGAAAAAAAGGGGGTAAAAAATGTCATTTAATAAAATTATGAATTACTCACCTTAGTCAACAATGAGTTCACTGCAGTGAACCATGCTGAAACTAATTTGATCCACATAATAGTCAATATTTTATACATAAACGGTAAAAGTAATTTGCTTAAAATTTTAAAATTCAGGATCCAAAACCCTACTCGCTCAATAGTTTAAGGTTTATGACGCTGATTAACAAATGACATATCTACAAAGGATTGTCCCGTCATTATTTGGTTGGCCCCATGGTGAATTGTATAGTGAATAATAATGACATTAACAAAAAGATAATAGAGGGATAATTTTTTATAAATTTAAAAGTTTAAAGTTCATTTTATATATTTTAAGAGTTTAAATTCTAAAGCATTTTTTGTGTAATACTTCAGGGTTTAAAATACTTATTAACCTGTTATTATTATTTTTTTGGAAAGAAAAACTAACCTAAGTCATGTTGGTTAGTTAAGGGTTTTTTTATTTTTAATTATGGTACACTACTTATTTAAATCTTATTTTTTTATTTAAATCACGTGATTAACAGGTTTAATCAGTATTTTAATTTTTTCATTATGTAATCTCTCTCATGGAAGTATGACTGGCTATTAAGTAGCATGTCTTTCAACTTGCATTGTATTTGTTCTTTTAGTATTTATATTTTAAAATGTTACTATTTCTCCTCTTAACCCTTGAAAACAACTCTTTTATTTGTTTATTCTGCTCGAGAAATTCTTAAATGAATCAAATACATCATGTTATTTTTTATCTGTCCAATTTGAATGCTCAAATCATTTAAATAAAATCTTATATAATATTATTTTAATTAATTTATTTTTATAATATAATGCATATATAATTTATTGCTTTTATTTTAATATCTCCCTCCTCTCTCAAATAATCTATTGTAGGTGTAAATAAAAGTAAATATGAAAATAGTAAACTTAAAAAATGCAAAATAAACTAAAATGTTAAATTATGAAGGCTAGGAACTTTATCAGTATAGCAAAAGCTTACTTTCGAGCAAGTTTGCCCGAGAGGTTAAGGGGGAAAACTTGAGATCTTTTCCACACAAGTGCGCGTGGGTTCGAACCCCACAGCTTGCAAGTTTTGAAAATTTTATCCAACAAATAAACTACTCCCTCCAGATATAAGCTATTCTTTAAAAAATTAAATGTTTAAAAATATTATGTATCTTTAGTCTTTTTGAGATATGATAATTATTTTTTTCTTAAAGTATCCTTATTAATAATGACTTTATATTTATTGCATGGTATTTAATAAGAATAAATATAAAAAAATAGAGTTAGTTTGAAAGTTTGTAATTATTTTATTGGGGATAAAATTCAATTAAAAATGTCTTGTATTTTTAAATAGATGGAGTATATGGTTAATACTTATATTAATTATTAATATATAACGTACTCTTGCAAGCTAAGATCATTCATTTACTGCCTTGAGTATTATTATACCCAAGAAAAAAAAAAAAGGCACTATGTGATATATCTCACTCACTCACGCCAAATTTTCCAATCTCAATGTATTTATTCATAATTATGAAAACCTTTTTTTTATTTTCAAAATTTACACAAGATCTCTCTAAAATTAAAGATTGTGTTATCTAGACCTTCATTTTATTTTCATGATTTTATTTGCATCCATGCGTCATTAATCCACTGTTAACTTATTAGATTTAACATTGTTACTAAAATATCCTTTCTTTACATAAATATCTATTAAATAACATTTTTTACTTCCCTTTCAACATGTTTTTTTTTTATTGTGTTCCAAAGTTTATTGTTTTTTAGTTGAATATATTTAATTATTTTTTGGTGAAAGAATATCTTTAAATTATTTGTTTGAATGTTAGTACACTTAATTATTTAAAATCGTCCTATAAATATGTTGCTAGTATTTTTTAAGTCAACTTAATAGGAAATATTAGCACGAATTTACTTCCATAATTGTCATGATAAAAGCTTTTTTGGTATTGTCATTTTGTTTTTTAAGTGAATATCTCATGTCAAAATATTCGAATTCTAAAAAGCTTGTGCTTTGATTTTAATCACTGATGATAGCATATACTTCTAAAATATTTAGACACACACGGATCAAACTTTATTAATTAACAGAATGTACAGATATTCTTACGTAAGTTTTTGCGTTAAATCATGACAGTTTCCAATCTGTCCTCCTTTAAATTTTCATGGCAAAGGCCTTCGGGTGAAATACTTGTAATTGAGCCATGTAATGTTTGAATCTCATGAAGAAGTATTGGATATCAACTAGCTGTATCAAATTAATTTGTTTGAATATCAGTACACTTATATTTTATCAAAACACACACACACACACACAATAAAATGTATTTTATTCATCAAATATATAAATAATGAAAAAAACTCTTGTAACGATGCTTTATATCATCAGTAGAAAAAAAATTAAAAAAATTAATAATCTCACATGAAAAAAAGTAAACATCGTGAAGCCACCTCATGTTATTTCAAACCCTCATGATGTGAAAAAAAAAAAAAACAGAGACAGATAGGGTGAGACATAAAATGATTTTTATTCTGCAAGGATTGAATAATTTATCAATTGCAATGTAATAGGCTCCTTTATTGAATTTCTAATTAACAAATAACATTAAAAAAATAACAAATCAAGTTATAATTTTAGCAAGCACGCTTTATATTAAAAAAATGATATTACACATGCAAAATATTTACAGTAACAAGTTCCTTTGTCGAATTAATAAATAACATTATCAAAATAATAAGTCAAACTATGATTTTAACAAATATCTTTCATGTTGAAACAAAATAATATTGAATATACAACATGTGCTGTGAATAAATTTTTTTATTGAATTTACAAGTAAGTAATATTATTAAAATAATAAGTCAAATTACTAAAAATAATTGAAAAGTATTTTGATCACTTCTTTACAAAACATAATTTCAATTTAATTTCTTGATCTTATAGTGTAATTTTAGAATTGTTTGAAACTAATTTAAAATAAAATCACATTTCTAGTCTAATCACTTGTACAAAACAAAGCTTTTAAGAGGCATTTTCTACCTATAATAATTGTCATTGACCGTTGGACTTTTTACGTCAGTTGATCTTTTCTAAAACGGAATGCCGTACTCTATGTTGACAGGTAGTTTCTAATTCTCCATGTCTTTATCTCTTCAGCGTCTCATTTTATTATTCCTAGTTAGATTTTTCTTGAATTTTTTTCCCTAATATTTCTTGCAGTACTCTAACTTGTGAACATATTTTTCAAAGCCACGCACGTGGGGTCCTCAGACAAAGAAAACTAAAATATGACTATTGCATGTACATAGACAGCATGCGCATTTACTTTAAATAATGTTCCCATGTTTTTTCCTCTTCCTTTAAATGCCTATTGTTGGCCTAGTAGAATATAGGCAAAGATATCTGGTCTAACTTGGGATAAAATTAAATTTGCTTTAAGATTCTATTGCTAATTCATGTATAAAAAATTTAAAAAAATTGGACAAAAAGGTAGTATTGATTCCCATTCCCTTTTGAATGTAAATTGTTCTGTCTTTCAATTAAATCTAGTACATGGGTTGTCATCACTCTTACAGATACTTCAAGAACAAAAAATTTATTTGTTTAGAAAGGGTGTACCAGATGATCAGTTTATTTTTATGTTCCAAACATAAAATTTCTCTTTCTAATTGACATTTGGTTGTATCTTTGCCTACTGTGATGATATGTTTCTTGCATGGAAATTGATCAGAAATTTGTTGTTATTTCAATCATGATGATCAGCATATTGTTATTTATAATATGGGGTTAAAATGTTAATTTTGTAACTATACATGTGACCTCCATATGCAACTTTATATATGTATATCTTAACTATTTTCCTCTTCTCTCGCAGAAAAATGAGGGCGAAGTATTGACACTGGCTCTCTTCTTTGAACTATAGTTCTGTCTTTGTTTGGGGTAAGGCCCTGAAGATATAAGTGTGTTTAATATTTTCACTGTGCCTCTAATATTAGTT